TTAAAAAGCCTGATGGGGGGCGCCTGGGTGGCTCAGTGGGTTAAGCGCCCAACTCCCTTCCGCTCAGGTCATGGTCTGGCGCTTCGTTGAGTTCCAACCCTGCATCGGGCTCTGTGCTGACAGCTCAGAGCCTGGAGCCTGGTTCGGGTTCTGTGTCTCCCTCTCTCTCTGCCCCTCCACTGCTCACTCTAGGTCTCTCAAAAATAAATAAATGTTGAAAAAGAAATTTTAAAGCATGATGGATTTGAGTGGAAGAATGCTGTTTTTTTGTTTGTTTTTACAAAATCCATCTTTAAGTTGAAAAGAACAAGTTGCTGAGGGAGATTTTGCAACAGAGGCTACAGTGTGCCATCTCCTCCACTCTGCCTAGGAGTGTGAAACCCAGTAAAATCAGGTTGGGGCCTGTTTGAACCTACCAAGGGAGCTGTCGTAGGTATCTGCACCAGCAATGCCAGTAGCAGCATGTTTTAATACCAGGCTTCCAGGTAAAATTGTCAGCTGGCATCTCCGAGCCCTTCGTGAGGCACCAGATACATAGATCTTTATCTAAATTCCTCTCCCTCTGCCCCACCTCCTTGTCCACATCTTCTAGGGTCCACTGCTGGGGGTGATAGAACTGAGGAGGGTCTGGAGGCCCGGGCACAAGGCTTGTCTCTGCCACTTCCTGCATGATCTTGGGCAAATCATTTTATCTCCGTGAGCTCCAGATTTCTCCATCCACAAAGTAGAAATATCAATACAAAGCTCAAAGGATTGTTGGTGAGAATAAAGAAATCACATGCTAAATTAGTGTCCATGAGGGGAATCAGACAACAGCCACTTGATATTTTAACCTACATCAGGCTCAGCACTTCCGTGTGACCCATTATCACCTCCAAGTCAGCCTGGCAACACCGCTGCTTGGAACTGGCCAGCAGGGAGGCACAGGACACCGGACACCTGGTAAAATGGACACTGTGTTCCTGCCATCTGATGGCTATTTATGAAAAGTAGGTCTTACTCTGCATCTGGAAGCCTCTGTGGACAAGGAGGCCAAAAGATGAGCGATACAGTGGGATCCACCCACAAGGTGTGGGGAAGATGGGCCAGGAGTTAAAAGATACAGGGCTCCTGGTTGAGGAGAGTGTAAAATCATTCCACATAGGTTCCAACTCTGGATCCCTCCCTAGTGATCCAAGAACTCAGTGTGGGAAGCAGATGGCTTCCTGAGCAAAGCAGGATCAGAATTTATCAATCCAAACAACAGTAGTTAAACTAGATGTGATATTAAAGTGATATTCAGTTAAAACGTTTCTATGTAGAAAATGAACGCCAATGTTCACAAACTCTAAGTAATGCAATAAGAAATATACAAACTCACATAGAAAGCATTCTTTCTTACCGAAAATGTTAAACCTGAATGTGGTCGTGAGGAAACAGGCTAACCCAGAATGTGGAACAGATTCTGCCCGAGACTCTCTTTTAAAAAGTCTGTGCCATGGAAAGAAAGAAAAGAAAAAAAGCAGAGGGACTTTCTTCTAATAAAAGATACTAAAAAAATGTCAACATTAGTTACAATATGTGAATCTTGACTGATTAAAAAACGTATACAGAATTTATGCTCTGAAGGGCACCTGGATGGCTCAGTCGGTTAAGTGTCTGACTTCAGCTCAGGTCATGATCACGCGGTTCATGAGCTGAGGCCCAGCTTTGGGCTCTGTGCTGACAGCTCAGAGACAGAAGCCTGCTTCCAATTCTGTGTCTCCCTCTCTTTGCTCACGCTCTGTCTCTCAAAAATAAATAAACAGTAAAAAAATTTTGGAGACACAGAATCAGAAGCATGCTCCAGGGTCTAAGCTGTCAGCACAGAGCCCAAGACAGGACTTGAACTAGCAGAAGACAAGATCATGGCCTGAGCTGAAGTCGAATGCTCAACCCACTGAGCCACCCAGGTACCCCCCCCGACCAAATTTTTTAAAAAAAATTTATGCTCTGGAGGGGTGCCTGGATGGCTCGGTCAGTTGAGCTTCCGGCTTCAGCTCAGGTCACGATCTCACGGTCTAGGAGTTCGAGCCCCGCGTCGGGCTCTGTGCTGACAGCTCAGAGCCTGGAGCCTGCTTCAAATTCTGTGTCTCCCTCTCTCTCTGACCCTCCCCCGTTCATGCTCTGTCTCTCTGTCTCAAAAATAAATAAACATAAAAAAAATAAATTAAAAAAATTATGCTCTGGAAATAGTTGGGGAAATTTAAAGGTGGAATACATCAAATGTTAATATTTTAGACATAAACCTGATAACATGATTACATACATACAAAATGTCTTTATTATTGAGGGATGTTAAGTTGTAACATAAAAAAAATTAGAAGTGAAGTATCATGATGTTTGCAACTTGTTTTCAACTGGTTTAGCAAAAAAAATTACATATTTATATATAAAATGTTTTATACACACAAGCAAAGAGAGAAGAGAGTAAATAAACGTGGCAAAATATTAGCAGTTATTAATCTAGGTGAAAGGTGTACGAGTGTTCATTGTGCTAATCTTTCAACTTCTCTGTATGTTTGCAAACCTTCCTAATACAAAAGTTGGAGAAATTCTATCTGTATGCTGCTCTTAAAACATTGTATAAAGAGAAGTATCTTTTCATTTCATTTTCAGATGAGTATAATATTGGTTACATTTGTATCCTATATAATTGTTCCTTTAAAAAACATATTTTGTTCTGCCCTGCTGTCTCTCAATAAGGAATATTTGATGTGATACATTTATAAGCAACCGATGGCCAAGTTCACTTCAGGAACTGTGCGTGGATTCATTTGTAAACGCTTTAATAAGGAGTTTTATAGCCATGGGTTTCGGGTTTCCCCTGATGTGCCCCTTTGCTGTTCCTCTTGCCGTCCTGTTTCTTCTTGTGGCAAAGGTTGCCTTTAGCTTTTTTCTTGGCCTCTTGTTCTTTCATCCACTGCTTAATAATGTGACTGTGCGGGCTGACGCAGACCCTCCTGCGCCTGATGTGAAGGCTGCCGAGAAGGGAAGAAAAACAAAATCACGGATAGAAAGTGCAAGTAAGTAAAAATTTAGTGACTTCTAGGCAGTTCCCACTTTTAGACACAGTGTATTTTTAGAGACTGAGTACCACCAGGATGAATCTTTACTATACCTCTGCCTGCAGTTCCTCAAACATCAGTATTAAAAAGAGAAGAAGGAATCTAAGTGGGGGAGAGGGGGTGGAAGGGGAGGTGGGGTGGAGAGGAGAGGA